GATCCACCATAATCCAAGACCAATAAAGATTACACTAATGATTTAAGTGAATGTTGTTTTACACCGCTTTTAGCAATATTTCAGCCATATCATGGCTGAGATCGTCGGAAACTGGTTTACACATTGTGCCTAGGTGGGGAGTCGAACCTGGACCTCTGGGGTTACGAGCGGATGCTATAACCACTCGGCTACCTACCGCCTTTAATTAAAGCACGTAAGGTAGGCCATGCGAAGAAAAATATTTGGTATCGTGAACAGCATGCGTTATGTTTTACAGTGAATAGCTGGGTGAGTGAGTTGATTTAGAGCCGTTTAGTATTAAGTTGTGATTTCGGTATGTATGTATGTATGTATGTATGTATGTGTGTGTGTGTGTGTGTGTGTGTGTGTGTGTGTGTGTGTGTGTGTGTGTGTGTGTGTGTGTGTGTGTGTGTGTGTGTGTGTGTGTGTGTGTGTGTGTGTGAGGATGGAATGCCGCAATTGATGCAGGTGATAGAGGAATACCCCCCAAAAAACCCCAAACAAAACAAAACAAAAAAACACACACAAAAAAACAAAATAAAAAACAAACAAAAAACCCCACTAAAAACAACAACAAAACAACAAAAACAACAACAAACAATCAAACAAACAAAAGAAAAACAAAACAAAAACAATACAAAAACAACAAAACAAAACAAACAAACACCCCCAAAAACAACAAAACAACAACAAACAAAAACAAACAAAAACAAACCCAACCCTCGATCTTGTGAATATTGCTGACAGAAAAAGGAACACACTCGGGTGAAAGTAGTAATTGAACCAGCGGATATTGTCACGACAACGGAACACTACTCGACACAGTCTAAGACTAGGCGAACCACCATTCCATTTAAAATATATTATAGTTCCTGCAACCAACATGGGTCATATTGAATATATGTCTTCACGCATTTTTCGTTAAGTTTGTTTGAGTGAGTGAGTATGATTTTACGCCTCTTTTAGCAATATTACAGCAATATCACGGTGGGGGACACCAGAAATAAAATGTGTTTGAAGTGACATCTCATATACTCGAACTCCAGCCTCTTGAAATATTGTTTAAGTCGACGTTACACATGGTTATAGCGTCTCCCTTTGTTCGGATGTCTGATGAGTCGATCAGCGACATATATCGAATAAGAGGAAGAAATTTGTGAGATGAGAACGCATACAAGTACATGTCCCCAATGTGTCGTAGTATTCATACAATTGATCAAAGAGATTTAAATGCTGGCTCTCTTGTAAAGTTCTAAGTTTAATTCTTTATTCCATTTATGAGCAATAAACACATTAATCACAAGCATGTTCAGTAATGTGACGTTTGTATCGAAGCCCTGTTAACTCGATTATTACATTCTTGTGCATCATCGACAAAAACGTCGCTGAAGGTAATTGGAGTTTCTCAATACTGGGCAGCGCACGATTGTCTCCTATGATATAACATCGATATGTTACTGCGTGGATGTCAATCGTTTTAACTTATTGCCATAACAAACGGCACACGTAAATTGCGAAAGATCTCTACCTTGTTCACAGCTTCAGTGAAATTCCCAATAAATTGATTGGCAAACAAGGCTTCAACACAAAACACTTTTTGAAAAAATATCGTTTCAACTGTCCTGACACAAAGCGTCATTCGTGACTTGGTACCATACAATAACACCTCTGAAATATCAATGTGAAAGGTAGAAGAAGGCAACGTGGTTCTTCGTGCACAAATGAATAAATCAGACACATTTCAAATAGGAACAAGTGAAATCGCACATCTGAGGAAATAGTTCGCGTGAGTTCTTACAGCTAGAAGCAATGTTATTCCTTATGAAAAGAAACATTGATCAGAATATTTACACTGGCGTTTAAGCTCTGTCTATTGTTCCTGCTGAATCATTCTGCTCTGTAATTCCATAATTCCTATGCCTCCTGGAAGCCAATAAACACTCGAATCAGAAACAAGACAGTGTAGAAACTATCTAGAAGCAATTAACAAGCCGGTCTCGTAACCTAGGCGTCTAAACAATGAATTCTGATTGAACAGCCTATAGATTTTTCAAAACTTTGTGCCCGAGTCGACACCAAATAGCTAGCGCCAAATGGGTAAATCAATTGTATGATGGAAAACGTAGAACTCCACAGAAAGCATAGATGAAGACACAACAAAGAATATTCTGGGCAAAAAGACTCCTTCATTATTTTCCCTTTACGCTTGGCCAAAGAATATGAAGTATTATTGTCCTTTACTGATCAATACACACATTATATCATCAATACATGCATTAAGGTTTAACTGGCAGCTATGCAAACATTATAATTTTAGTTAATGGTCGATGGTGACTTGCTGTTTGTCGGATTGCAATTTAGCTAAAATATAGTTGTCGATGTTGGCGAAGGACGTCAAAACAATAACACCACCCTCAATGAACATTGAGTTTTTGTTGCACACGAAACGAGTTCCGAGAAGCATAGTGCCTTTAAACCAGTGCAAAGACACAGTATTTAATTGTATTTGTACGATGATGAGCGTTATGTTGTAGAGAGCTTAATGAAGCCCCGCAAGTTCAGACCTTATGACGACAAAACGTGCAGAACACAAGGAAAATCTCATTCTGAATTATTGAAAACTTCAAATCTCGGTCGTCACGCCGAAGACCCGGGTTCGATTCCCGACATGGGTACAATGTGTGAAGGCCATTTCTGGTGTCCCCCGCCGTGATATTGCTGGAATATTGCTAAAAGCGGCGTAAAACCATACTCACTCACTCCTAATCTTGGTGCTGTGATAAGCCCAATATGCCCTTGAAATGACATTGTTATAATATACTTGTTACAACTGCTGCTCAATAAACCGTATTTGTGATTATATTCAAGTTGGTATTTCCGCTGTCCAAAGTGTGAAGTGAGGCCGTCTTATTTTTGATAGTCATTTTTCGCATTTATTTCACGCTCGCTTTAATTTCAAGATTTACAGTAAATCATTCCCCCGAGTACATCTAATTACATCCTTACCGATTGCTAAATAAAAGCGACAACGATAATTTACTTAATAGAGTGGGATGACGTCGAGGAAGAATAGATGCATGTATCACAACAAACATTGAAGACAAGCTAATTTGTTGGAATGATATATGCCCTTATGCACTTGTATGTCTTCTAAGATTTCATGCCAATAAAATTGCTTTACGTCAATAACCAAACACCAACGCCCTTTGCAAACTTAATGACAAATTCTGGTTGCTTATCCTGGGGACGAACCAATGTCTACTTATATTCGTGTAAGACTTCAATCCTATAAATGAAGTATATAAAATGACTGATATTAATGATATAATTTGTTATTATTTACGAGATAAACATACTCTGTTTTCAATGAAGAGATATGTTTCCTGTATATTTCACCGTGCTACGCTTGGAACAGAACGCGAGGTGGTTATTGCGATTTGAAACCTCCAATGTGACCAATCAAAATCGAGTATTTTACAAATTCACGATAAAATGGTGAATGATTGAATTTTGTTAAACGTTGCCTTTGAAAATAATTTTTCAATATTACATGACATGTCAGCTTAATATTGGGATGATTGGTTGGTTGGTTGGTTGTTTAACGCCGCACTCAGCAATATTCCAGCTATATGACGGCGGTTTGTAAATAATCGAGTCTGGACCAGACAATCCAGTGATTGATATCATGAGCATCGATCCACGCAATTGGGATCGATGACATGCATCAACCAAGTCAGCGAGCCTGACCACCCGGTCTCCTTTTACGACAAGCAGAGTCACCTTTTACGGCAAGTAGGGGTTGCTGAAGACCTATTCTACCCCGGAATCTTCACGGGTCAATATTGAGATGAGAGTCGTGTACGAACGTCATAAAGACGCTGGTGAAACACACGCGTACGGGTTTGGGGCTGTCAGGCCAATGGAAATTTTATGGCGAATCGGGGAGTTGAACCCACTTTTAGCGGATCCTGGCCACGATAAAAGGTCTTAACTCCCTACACCATTGAGCCAGCCGTGTAACCTAAATTAAAGTATATAGTTTACGCAGCTCTAAGAACGCTGCCCCGGCTCAAATGGCGATACACGTGTCCAATAAACCCGACCACCGGCGGAACATCAATCTTACTTAAGCACAAATGAAGGAACAGTTTCCTTCAATGGAGACGCCAATTACATAAGAAGGTTGTGTTCAATTTCCAAATTCATGTTTTTGCACTTTCTCAGACATGACTTGATGAACATTTGCGTGACTCAAACAAAATCATGGAATATACTACACATAATAGAGAAATCAATACAAAACAATCATGTTATCGAGGCTAGTTTGAAATATTTATGACAACCTCAACCCCCTCACCCCCATCATCAGGTCCTCCAGTAAACGTATCTGTTCCTTGGGCATAAAATCGTGTGAACACAGTGCTTGACTGTAAGTTGTGAAAAACTGCTTTTAACAACGTGATTGGTAATCTTTCCCATCGGACCATACATAACACCAGTAGGGTCGATCATTAGGACATCAGTGTTTTTTCTAACTCCATTTTGCAATACACTAAGACGCTTCTTCACATTGACGTCACTTTGTTGTCGATCACTGGGTGTTTTGTAGTAAAGGATTAAAGGAATTGTAATGATTGGTTGGTTGGTTTGTTGTTTAACGCCGCAATATTCCAGCTATATGACGGCGGTCTGTAAATAATCGAGTCTGGACCAAACAATCCAGTGATTGATATTATGAGCATCGATCCACGCAATTGGGATCGATGACATGCATCAACCAAGTCAGCGAGCCTGACCACCCGATCCCCTTAGTCGCCTTTTACGACAAGCCTAGTCGCCTCTCACGGCAAGCATGGGTTGCTGAAGACCTATTCTACCCCGGATCTTCACGGGTGGAATTGTAATGAACAGGGGTAGCATCTGAAATAAGATATTCATGGAATTAATATTCATATTGATGTAAGATGGATGACCTTTACCTTTGACCTTATGAAGGTCAAGTATGAGCTCTCCGAGGACAAGGGCACAGTCAGTGACACAGAAGAGCACTACGGTGAGAAGCATGTACTTGCTCTTGAGGATCCGTTCCCCGTCTCTCCGCCATCTGCAAACAGAATACATACGGCGTGTGATACTGCAGCAGGCAATGTGGGCATGTAGAGGGTTATGTGAGTCTGTGGCAGGAAATGTGGGCATGTGGAAGGTTATGTGAGTCTGTGGCAGGAAATGTGGGCATGTAGAAAGTTATGTGAGTCTGTGGCAGGAAATGTGGGCATGTAGAAGGTTATGTGAGTCTGTGGCAGGAAATGTGGGCATGTAGAAGGTTATGTGAGTCTGTGGCAGGAAATGTGGGCATGTAGAAGGTTATGTGAGTCTGTATCAGACAATTTAGGGATGTAGTAGGTCATATGACACTGTATCAAACATTGTAGGGATGTAGTGGGTCAGTTGACGATGCATCAGACAATGTAGGCATGTAGCAGGTTATGGGAGACTGTATCACACAATGTAGGCATGTAGTAGGTCATGTGACACTGTATCAGACAATGTAGAACTGTAGCAAGGCATGTGACAATGTATCAGACAATGTAGGACTGTAGCAGATCATGTGACACTGTATCAGACAATGTAGGCATGTAGGAGGTCACGTGACACTCTGGCAGACAACGTACGACATGACATAGATCATATGACACTGTAGCAACCATTGTAGGCATGGATGAGGTCGTGAAACACTGTAGCGGGTAACGTAGGTCATGACATACATGCAGGTCGTATTTAACATATATATAGCAGCCAATGTAGGGCACTGTAGCAGACAGTATAGGTCATGAAATAGGTCATGACATGGGTCACTATAGCAGGCGATGTAGGACAGGATATAGGCCATGTGTCACTGGCAGGCAATATAGGTCATGACATGGGTCGTGTCTCACTATAGCCGGCAAAGTAGGACAGGCTATAGGCCATGTGTCACTGGCAGGCAATGTAGGTCATGACATAGGCCATGTGTCACGGGCAAGCAATATATGTTATGACATAGGTCGTGTGACACTGTGGCAGGCACTGTGGTCGGTCATATTCCATTCATACGATGTCAGCCTGTAACTAGTTGACTCTGGACCAGACAAACAAGGGGTGGATATGATGAACAACGACCATCTCGGATGAGGTACGATGATACACCAACCAAGTAACACATTGTAAGAACTCGATCTCCAGTCAGTCGGAATTACAATGAGCATTTGGCGATGGAGAATGAAATCCCTAGGGACTATGCATCTCTCACATTGACACGGCTCAAGTACACCGATGACACGAACGTCCCCGGTGTTATTAGAAGGGAAACAGCCTACTGGCGATGTGCTAATGAATTGCGTGTCTGGCGGTGGACAGAGTGTCACGAATTTCCGTCACTGTGTCTTTGAAGTGAAGTAAACATCATGTAAATAAAAGCGACAAATCCCTTTCCATGTTCAGAAGAACTTTCTGCTACAAGCAGAGTAGAGTGTAAGATTCCGACTATATTGTGAACATATGTTTATGATCGACTCAAGACAATTAATTAGTTGACAGAGGTATTCAAAATATTAAAGTAACTTCTCTTGAAAGCACTAACTGATGAATTAAGGTTAATTATGGGAGTGAATGTGGGATTCGAACTCACGAATATATTGGTACGTACACAGGGTGTTGGCGCCTTTGACCATTGGGCCACCCATCACCACTGTACTATTAATATTAGCTGTAAACTAGTAAATGAGACCGATAGAAAAGTCAGTGTAAATGAGTTTCTCGCCCCTCTATGTTCGTAAATACACACACTAACACACATCCCCCCCCCCCCCCCCCTCCACACACACACATATCCACAGGCACAGACACACACATAAACACAGACACGCACACAGCTGGACACAGTCACAAACACAGACACAAACAGAAACACACAGACACACACAGACAGTCAGACTAACACACAGACAGTCACGCACACAGACACACACAAACACACACAGACAATCACGCACAAAGACACACACACAAACACAGACACGCACACAGATAGTCACATACACAAAAAAACACACAAACACAGATACAAACAGAAACACACAGACACACACACAAAGTCAGACTAACACACACACACGCTCACAGAGACACACACAAACACAGACACACACAGACAATCACGCACATAGACACACAAACACAAACACACAGACAATCACGCACACAGACACACACACAAACACAGACACAAACAGAAACACACAGACACACACACAAAGTCAGACTAACACACACACAGTCACGCACACAGACACACACACAAACACAGACACAAACAGAAACACACAGACACACACACAAAGTCAGACTAACACACACACACGCTCACAGAGACACACACACACACACAAACACAGACACACACAGACAATCACGCACATAGACACACAAACACAAACACACAGACAATCACGCACACAGACACACACACAAACACAGACACAAACAGAAACACACAGACACACACACAAAGTCAGACTAACACATACACGTTACGTTTACAAATCTAGTCAATACGGAACATATTGGCCATGATAAAACGAATCGCTGAAAGAAGAGCAGGATAAATATATATGACACAACTTTCCTGGGGACCAAGACAGACCACTCCGTATGTATATATGTTTTACATCAAATACCTCATTGATTCTCAGTATCCCTATCACAGTTTGAATAATATAATTACTGTCTGGACGGGGCTGGCAGATGAATATTTTTCAGGGAAGTTCTTTAATTTGGAAGATTCTAAAAATATGACCGAATGAAGAATAATCATCTATCGGTCTGACCTATGCCAACTGCAAATATGTACGCAGACGAGCTACGTCTGCGAGAGATGCGGAGTTTGAGTGATGAGTTGCATCTTCAATGCATATTCGCACATCTTACCCTTGAGAGGAGAAAGGAAGCAGTGAACCTTCTGCAATCTCCAGCAAAATAGCGATGCGTAAACGAAACGATTGATGGAATGATGTAACATGAAGAATTCTATTAGTTCGAATCATATAATAAATTCTTTCAAGAAACTCTCTGATGTTTGACCTATTTTCAAGCCAATTACAATTGACGTATTTGTATAATTTAAAAGCATACCTCACAAATTGCAAATATATCGTCTTGTTAAGAAGGATAACAAGGGTACAACGAAACTTTGATGACTTTTATATCATTTACTGTTTGTGTCGTGTCGTGGATGAGTGAGTGGTTTTACGCAGCTTTTAACAGTATTTCAGTAATATCACGGCGTGCCAGCTTAATGTATGAAGGCGGTTGTGGCAGTGATGCATGTCTCAGACGTTTACCACTTTGCTGAAACCCACGAGCAAGGGTATGGTGCTGACAAATATAGTATAATCAGGTCGAACCGGGGTTCGGACCCACGACGATAGGTTTTTGGCGTGCAAATTGCGACGCCTTTGACGACTGGGCCTCCTGTGTCGCGCGAAATATCCGATATCAAATCTCTTCCAAATACATACTCATGGAAATAACTATGAGAACACATGTAATGAAAAGCAGTGTTCGTTCTGCCATTAACTTATTTTGTTGACCTACATGTGAATCCCACGGCATCAAAAGTAGGCTCCATGGACCCCATTCTTCCTTTTTTGTGGAACCGCCATGTGACGTCTGTCTGTAAATAATCGAGTATGGGCCAGACCATCCAGTGACTGACATCATGATCACCAATCTACGCAATAGGGATACGATGACATGCTTAACCAAGACAGCGAGTCAGACCACCCGATCCCGTCAGTCGCCTCTTATGACAAGCATGAGTTGCCGAAGATCAGTTCCAACCCGGACCTTCACGAGGTGCTGGGGGCACGGGTGGCCCAGTCGTCTAAGGCGCCGCGATTCGCTGTGCAGAGTTGCGTCCCTTGGGCACGCCAGAAACCTATGATCGTGGGTTCGAATCCCGGTTCGCCCCGATTATGTTTCTAGGTTTGTCAGCACCATACCCGTGCTCGTGGGTTTCACCAAAGTGGTAAACGTCTGAGACCTGCATCACTTCGGGCTTTCCTTCCACATTAAGCTGACACGCCGCGATATAACTGGAATACTGTTAAAAAGCGGCGTTAAACCCAACTCACTCACTCACTCACTCACTCACGAGGTGCTTGTCACACGAGTTAAGTTGAAGATCGAGTGGCTGCAACGTCTGACACCGGATAACGTAGTGCTATCATGGCGGAGTAACTGGTTTTCCTGAACAAGGCTCGTTAGTTTTAATTACCGTCCTCCGTGAAAAACCTGGAATTCGAGTGTGGTGTAGAACCCTCGCTCATTCTCTTACAGCCCATCTCCGTGGTCCAGTGGAAAAGCGTCCGGAGAGCGGAAGGTCGGAGTTCTAACCCTTGCCTCGTCATACCAAAAGACGTTAAATATGGTACTTGTTGTTACCTTGCCTGGCACTCGGCATAAAGGGGCCAAAACAAGGACTGGTATCCGCTGGTATACTGTGTCTGAGTGGGATGTTTATGGTATCTCAGTAGGCTCGCAGTATAAAATCGGGATTAGGTCGTACTAGTTCAAGGAGACACACACACACACACACACACACACACACACACACACACACACACACACACACACACACACACACACACACACGCACGCACGCACGCACGCACGCACGCACGCACGCACGCACGCACACACACACACACACACACACACACACACACACACACACACACACGTGCATGCGCGTCGCTATTTAAGGGAAGCAACGTTCAACCGCATTTCACCTTACTCACTCACACACTCACTTATTATAAAACATTGCAAACATCACGAATCATATTTAAATTTTTCAAGATATTGCAAAAAAGCCCTTATTTTCGTCATCGTAATACATATTACACACTACAATCTCACACAAATCACTATAACACAAATTACGGTATTAAGGATATTATTATCAATTATTCGGTTGCAGTTGTTGACTTAAACAAATCGTTATCACCTTCAAACATATTAGTGTGTTTGTTAAGCGATGAATGTCTTTTTCCATCTTTCTTGTTT